AAACCCTAAACCCTATAGGTTATAAGGATACTTACTAAGGGTCTTAACGTACGTTGCAGATTTTTGGCCCTGAGAGCTGCGCTGTGCTCACGATGCACAGCAAGGAGGAGTACGGGTGTAAACTCTCTTCCCCAATAACAAGGGCTAAAAAGGTTAGGGTTTCGGGTTTATGGTTTGGGGTTTAGGATTTAGGGTTTAGGGTTTGAAGCCCAAAAAGTTTGAATGTCTTCTATTGGCTAAGCAAGTAAAAGTAAAGGCTGAGCAGTACTTTCAGTGCGTGACCAGTTAGTCGGGGACGGCCAAAGCAGGCCGGGTGGGAATTTCGGGTCTACAGTTACATAGCCCCAGGGTTTCTAGGGGCCCCCCAAGACCCTAAACCCCAAACCCTAGGCCCGACTGCTTGGAAGGACGGAAAGGCCCAGTCTGTAAATGTACGTCAAACCGCGAGACTTGTCATTTATAGCACGGCTATCTCCAGCTTACCTACCGACCCCCACACCCTGAACCGCAAACCCTCTAAGACCATACTTATCACTCCGAATAGTGAGGCTAACAACTAAAGCCGAAACTCCAGACCCAACCCAAAACCTAAAACTCTATACAAAAAAACTAAACTCTAAACCCTGAATCCTAAGCTTTGAACCGTGAACCCTAAATCGAACCCTACTCTCTGACTCTAAACTCTGAGACCTAAACTCTACACCCAAAAGCCCTAGAGTCTAAACCCTAAACCATAAACCCTAACCGTTGTCCGACGCGCGGCCTGCCCATCGCACAAGTCGGAGCTTAGCTCGTAGATCTTGCTAACTTCCCTGCCATTGGGCTTGTTTTAGGGTTTAGGGCTTAGGGTTCATTGTCTAGGGTTTTTAGTCTAGAGTCTATGGCTTAGAGTTTAGGGTTTGGAGTTTAGGGTCTACGATTACTTGAGGGTTCATGGGTTGTTAGAAGTACAGGTGTCAGCAGGATATTTAGACTATGTAGGGGGATATGGGGGATATATGAGTAAATTGTAAGACTATGGGCCATTTGAAGTAGGGTTACATCTCCCCGTCTAAACCCACAACCCTAAACCCCGTCATTAGGGTACATCTACCTTTCCCTAAACCCTAAACCTCCAACTACAACTGCCCATGAGCCCTACTTGGACCTTGAAGTAGGGCGTACGGTGGCCTGTCTGGTAGTTTCCATAAACAGGGCTTAGGGTGTAGGGTTTAAGGTTTACACTATCCTCCTGACGATAGGGAGCCTCATGAAGGTAAACAGGTAAACAAGTACCACTAGTTTTGGGGAACCCTAGACCCTAAACCTTTCTCACCCCTGTATATCCCCCTTACCCCCCTAATGTGGGAAACCCCCACCTTCCACTAAACCCTAAACCCTAAACCCTAAACCCCCCTAGTGTCGGAAACCCCCACCTTCCAAATGGCAACCATAATGGGCATATCGGCATTGCTGGGGTGGTAAAGGCTGCTGTTAGCACTTTAGGGTTGAGGTTTAGGGTTTAGGGTTTAGGGTTGAGTGTTTTGGGCGGGGTTTAGTGTTACCTTTGGTTAGCTGGGAATTAAGGAATGAAAAAGAAATGAAACTGCTATAATGGGTTATATAGGGACTACTATAAGGAGGCATTCCTTCATTCCTGGCTAATTTACGGTTTAGGTTTTTAGGGTTAGGGGTTGAGGGTTCAAGGTCTTAAGGATCTTTAGCTTCAGGGTGTCGAGTTCAGGGTGTAGGGTGGCAAGGTTTAGGGTTTGCTATGAAACCTGACACCTCAAACTCCAAAGCCATGTGAACCCTAATCCCTGAGCCCTGAACCCCGAACAATAGCTGGGAGGTACTTCAAAGGCCCCCAAAATTATTCATAAACAGGATCCCTGATATCACAATAGGGGAAAGATTAATTATCCCTAAGTGCCACCAAGCTTGTGTTCTCAGCCCCAAAAATGTGGCTTCATTCGAGCCTCACCATCTCGAAGTGCTCTGCCTTAGAGCAGGACACAGTAATCATTGCAACAGTGGCCAGAACCAAGAAAAAAACATCCTTGTAACTTGGGAGGCTGATGATGATCCCTTTCTTGCGTCATAGTGATAACAATGGAGCCATGGTGGTGGAAGTAGGAGTCACGGGCATGGGTGGCGGCGGCGGACAGTTGTCTGGTCATTCAAAGTGCATCTACTTACTGACTCTTAGCAGGGAATAAAGGAATATAGTATACAGGGCGCATATATAGGGATACTATGCCTTATTCCCTGTCAAAGTCTATCTGCAAGAGAGCTGCATTATCTGTGTGGAGGATGGCAGCAATGCAAACTTTTCGCGCCGTCTTCCGGGCATCCTTGTCCAGGCGCTTGAATACGTCAGCCTCCTGGCAGAGGTGCGCACCCTCATCAAAACTCTAAAGACTTTAGGAGGGACCCCTATTAAAGACCCTTGTAGCTTATGGGGG